AGGGCCCTTCCCCCTGCAGTGTTGTTCTGGTGCCCTCTACTGATAAACCTTATGCCAGCTGGCAAAGGAAACACATAAAGGGCCCAGATCCATTTTCACAGACCAGGCAACAAAAGGAGAATTTGAAGTTCAAACAATAAATTGATAATTGGCACAATTCCACATACACACACAGACACAGCCTACCACATAGAGAGGCATAATCCTGGATGCAGATGGGAAAAAGAAGAGATACAGTTTGGCTTACCCTCTAGAGAAGAAACTATTCTTATGGTAAACACAGATAAGAGGGGTGTTGACTTTCTGCTTGGATTCCTGGAGTGGTGAGAACTTTTTCTCTTTTGCAAATGTGTTTACTGTTCCAAAGCTGTGTTTGTGGGAGTCTTCTTTTACATTCTCACCTGTCTTCTACATTCAGGCAATCACCAAGTGCTTTGGAGACAAACCCTATGAAGTCTATCTTCTCTTTCAGTCCACTCTGCTATTGCCATAGCTTGTTATAAATTTTGCCTGGACAACTGCAATACTTCTGACTTCCCAAATTTATACTGGTCTCAGTGCTGTTTATCACACTTCCTTTCATTCTCTTAAGTTTCCTCTCAGATTCTCTGCAATATCTCTTCCAGATCTCCAACCCCATATGAAATTCCTTTGCCAATATATTCAGCAGAAAATCTGATTGGAAATGTTTTCATATTCTTACTAGCTATGTCAAGTGTACCTCCAATACTGCACAATTTATTTACCCTAAGATTTTTACAGGTTGAGCCTTTCTCTCAAGACAGGTGATCAGATACAATGGCTCATGCCTGTAATCCTAACACTTTAGAAGGCCAAGGTGGGAGAACTGCTTAAGCCCAGGAGTTCAAGACCACCTGGGTAACATAGTAAAAACTTGTCTCTATTAAAAAAAAAAAAAAAAAAGACAAATAAGCTCTTTTAGTGGCCGTGACTTAGGGGAAGGTACAGGCCCTTCTTCTTTAACCTAGGTTTCAGGTTACTAGAACAGACACAGAAAAGAGGAAGCTAAGACAAAAACAATTTTAAGTAGCATTAAAATTGACAAAACTCAGCTCTCTTTCTCCCTGCCAAAAAAATCACTTTCTAGTTCCCAAAGGAATTGGAAAGCAGGGAAAAGGTAAGAACTGATGGCTGGCAGCAGCAAGGGCGCTGCTGAGCCAACTGCTCTGCCTGAGAGTGGGCCAAGCTGGGGAAGCTGGACTCGGCCTTGGGGTCTGCATCAGTAGCAGATAAGAGCATCACCTATCGTCATGTGTAACCTGGCTTTGTGAGATTTTTCTAGTCGTCAACTATTGCCCCATAACTCACAGAAGGAATGCTTTTACCCTTTAAGAACACTAGGTAGGTAGAACTCTAGGAATCTTGTTTCACTATTTTTTATTTTTATTTTTATTTTAGGATTATAGAACGTCATGCTTCAAACAGTCCCAAATTTCTCTTTAATCAAAGAGCAGCTGTTTGGCTATTCTCCAAAATCATTTCTAGGTTAAAATTAATGAATAAGATATGGGGCTAGATAAAAATAATCTTTCCACAATGAGAATATAGATTTTATCCCTTACACATTTCATGCATATTAGAGAAAATAAAAAAGCATAACATGATATTTACTCATGGAAAAAGATTATGCAATGAGAGAATCTCATGTCTGTCAAGAATCCTCTACCACTTGCTCTCTTTTAGAAAAAATTATTTTAAAAATTATATGTGCTTGCTTTGTTTTTGTTTGAAATGGAGTCTCACTCTGTCGCCCAAGCTGCAGTGCAATGGCATGATCTCGGCTCACTTCAACCTCCATCTCCCAGGTTCAAGCAATTCTCTTGCCTCAGCCTCCCGAGTAGCTGGGATTACAGGCATGTGCCACCAAACCTGGCTAATTTTTGTATTTTTAGTAGAGACAGGGTTCCACCATGTTGGCCAGGCTGGTCTCGAATGCCTGACCTCAGGTGATCCACCTGCCTTGGCCTCCCAAAGTGCTGGGATTGAGCCCAGCACTTTGGGAGTTTTGGATTTGAGCCCAGCACCGGGTGTGAGCCACCGCGCCTGGCCAACTTACTTTGGATATATGAGAAATATATGCACAGATATTTTGAAATTAGGTTAGAGCTTGCATGTATAAATTATTTCACCTTTAATCTGAATTACTTTACCTAATTTCACAGCCAGGTGCTGTCAGATTACCTGCCATCTTGAAAGTCCCTTCAACCCAAATCCTTTCTGTGGACTCATCACACAAGGTACCACCTTATAACTATTCCAGGTAGTCATATTTCTGTAAGTTTTTTAAATCAGATTTCATTGTTTCTGCTCATTGTGATTACTGGGTCAAATGTTTCCAAACTAAAATTGACCTTTTTTTTTTCGCCAAAGAGATAAGGTCTGACTATTTTGTCCAGGCTGGTCTCAAACTCCTGGGCTCAAGTGATCCTCCTATAATGGCTTCCCAAAATGCTGCGATTACAGGCATGAGCTACCATGCCTGGCAATCCACTACCAATTTTTCAGAAAACTCAGCAAAAATCAATATGAAAAAAAAATTCTAAAACTAAAAGTGAGGAAGAATGATGGTGGGTTCTGAACTCAAGATCATGGTTTGAAGAAATGGGTAGGACATTTGGATAGCTAAACTAAAAGGCCAAAAAGAGGTGCAGCTCAAGACTTCTTGGAGTGAGGCTTAAATGGTGAGGCCAGGAAGGATGCAGGTAGCAATCTGACTTTAGTTTGAGTCCCCCAGTTCTCCGTACCCCCCATCCCACCCAATCTGGGCTTGGTCCCCTCATTAGTAGGACTTGTTTGGATGCTGCAGGTATTTGAACACCCATCTCATGCTGGAAATAAGCTGATACATAAAGACTGAACTCTTCCTTCTTAGGCACCAAAGCCATAGTCCTACAGTGGAGAATCTGCACCTTTCTTTCTTCTGAGAGAAACTCTAGTACATTTCAATTCCGTTTCCTGCTGAGATGGAATGGAAAGGTCCTGATAGTGACCCTTCCTAGAAACAAAGGAGGGGAGTGAGCATACCCTGGGGAAGCCCCTTCCGGGGCTGGAAAGATGACATCTTTGCCCCTCTCCCTTTGCTGGGCTAGGGTGGGCAGTCCTTTCCCTGGGCCATGTCTGAGGTCGCTACAGGTTATGGGGGATTTCAGTAAAAATCAATAATAATTCTGCATCATTTTTTTTCTTTCCACTCCTTTTTTCAAGGGTAAGAGCTGGTTTTCTTGTTTGTTTTTTCTTTCCAAGTGGTAGGAGGAATGTTGGGATTGTCTGGAATTGGGAGGGCCTACCCTTCATTCTTCAAAATCCTAGAGATTATATACCTGCATATACTTTTCCCTCAGTGGCCTCCAATTCTGATCAGAAGTTGGTGTTATAGGGGTAGTTCTGGCAAAGGGTAGGGGCCCACACTCCCAGACATGCACATCCTTTTCCCCCATCAGACCTGACTTTAAGGAGCCATTGGAAAATTGATGCTCTGGTGTGAATGTCTCCTCCAAAATTCATGTTGAAATTCAATTGCCATTATGATGAGATTTGTGGGTGGGACCTTTAAGAGGTGTTTAGGTTATGAGGGCTCAGCCCTCACAAATAGATTAATACCAATATCACAAGAGTGGATTAGTTATCTTGGAGTGGGTTCCTGATAAAAAGGGTAATTCCAGCCCCCTTTTCCTCTCTGTCTCACATACTCGCTTGCTCTACTGTCTTCACCATGGGATGATGCAGCATAAAGGCCCCCACTGGATGCTGGCACCATGCTCTTGGACTTCCCAGCCTCTAGAACCATGAACCAAATAAATATGTGTACATTATAAATCACTGAGTCTGTGACATTCTGTTATAACAGCAGAAAACAGATTAAGACCGCTAACTTCATGCCTGGGGCAGGCAAGTGGGGAGAGGCCTTGGAGCCAGTAATTCTTTCTTTTTTCATTGTCTCCTTGAATGAGGTGTCCAAAACACTTCGTGCTTCTTCTGATTTTCCAAGCCTGATATGCATTTTATGGATCTTGCAAACTCCAGTTGGGCAAACAAATTTGCTGGAGCCTAGGAAGACCCTCTCCAGTGAATAGTTATTGACCCAAGACAGAGAATCAGAGCCAGGGCATGCGGAGTTTATTCAAAAGTCTGGGCAATTTGGGCTCTGAGGGAGGAAGATTAAAAAAGGGTGTGGGTAAAAGACAGATCCTTGGCCTGAAAAACAATGGATGGAGTATGACTAGGTTGTCTCAGACCAGTTATTGGAGGGATGATGTGTGGGTATCATTAGCAGGACTGGGCTCTAGAATTAGAGGGCCAAGGGGACATGGTATCGGAGCTATGTTTAGGAGTCCTTACATCTATTATTGTTGATCTGACATGGGGAGTAGCTAAGAGGCCCAAAGCAATGACTCATGACTCGAGAACAGTGTGGGCATGGTTAAAGGACCTGCCCCTGCAATCCAGAAGGCTGCAGGGGGGATGTGGTTAAAGGGTCCCTGAAACTGGAGGACTGAGCAGATCATTAAGGACTGCAAAACTTCAGTGGAGTAGAGAAGTATTCAGCAAAGACACCTGCAGAAAGAAAGAAAAAGAGAGAGGGCGAGGTGGGGAGAGAAAGAGAAAGACACAAAGAGAGAAAGAGAATACCTAGGGAAGGAAGCTTTCACAGAAGCTGAAGAAAGTGACCAGTCTGGAGAAGAGGCAACCCAGCCCCTGGAGACCTGGAAAATCCCCTCCCGGCAACTGGCCTGTCTCTAGAACCTAATCACTCCTCCACATGAAAAGGAGCAGATTCTCCAAAAAATCTATTAGATTGATTCTCAAGGGTTGAATTCATGCAGGAATCCCTGACTGTGAATTTGAATTCCTTGCACCTTTCCGGTCAGCTGAGTGGCCAAGCCACACAGCCTGAACTTACTAAAGAAATTTTGAACTAAAACAAAGGGATAAGAAAACATGGGAAAGAAGTGGTATATGAAAATAAAACGAGTTGATCATTTTTTGATTACTTAAATAAAGCCTACTTTTTTATTCGGATTCCAAGAAGTAGAAAAGAATGCTTATTTAACAGTTACTGCCATCTTCGCTCACATTCAGAGTACATGGGGGAGTCAAGACATCTCCTGAAAACCCCTCAGAGGTGAGTGAGGTAGGGACTTGGGGTAAAGACTCTGTCTTCCTAAGTCAGTTGAGGAGGGACATCGGGATGAAGCTCCACCCACAAGCCCTGCACACACAGGTCTTCTCCCTGAGTGTGTCCTCCTTTAGTACAAGATGAGGTTGAACTTATTGCTAATGTGTTTCACATTTTCCCTCCCCACCCATGTAAAGCTTGTCCCAAAAAAGCTGTTCTTTGCTGAGGTGTGCCTTTTTACTAAGTCCTTGTCCATTCTCCCGACATGTGCAGAATTTCTATTCTATATACTCTGGGGCTTATTGAGGGGTGACTTGTGGCTGAAGCCTTATCTACACCCCTTATATACCTAACATGTCTTAGAATCAATTCTCTGGAGAGACAATGAGATGGAAAATTGAGGATTCACTGGGGAGTGAGGGCAGGACTGGGCAGAGGAAGAGGCTGATGTACAACGTGTCTGCAACCCAGTGATCCTTCAGTTCAATGGGGATCTCTGGATCTGGAATGACCTTCTGGAATTGTCCGCATTGAGTCAAGGGTTGGGGCCAGAAGCTACCCCTGCAAAGAGGCATAGCCCCTGTGGTGTGTGCAGTTCCCTGTGGCTGAGAGCGAGTTCCAGAGTGGAATGCATCACTGCCAGCAGCAACACTGTTCTCTCAAGCAGCTGGGGTGTTAGCCATGAAAAGGTCATCTGGGCAGAGCTCCACAGTGTCCCCACATGCAGAGTCTCCCTGTGGTGTGTGATCACAAAAGCTTTGCCCATACATCCTGCAAACAAAGACCTCCTTCCGGAGGGCCACCTTGTGCCTGACTGTCCATTCTTTTGCTGATGCTCACCAACACTCCCCAGACAAGGGTGCCTTCCCCTGAAGCAGTCATTGGATGTTTGGTAAATGTTGATTATTGCTAAAGCCTTCCCACAGTCCCTACACAAAAACTTCTCTCCTAAGTGTGTCTTCTTGTGCATGCTGAAGGCTGACTGATGGCTACAGTTGCCCATACTCTATACTCATAAGGCTCCTCTCCTGAACGTGTCCCTCCCATGCCTGATAAAGGTCGACACATCTCTGGAACTTCACTCACAATCTGCATACACAGGGTCTACTTCCCATGTGTGTCTCTGGGGTAACATGAGGCTTGACTGATCACTCGGGTCTTGTTCACGACCCCTGTATACACAGGTTTCTCCCGTCAGTGTGTCCTCTGGTGTCTGACGAGATTTGACTTATGACTAAAGCCTCGCCCACACTCCCTACAAACATAATGCTTCTCCCCTGAGTGTATCCTCTGGTGGACAAGGAGGAGTGATTTCCGGCTAAAGCCTCGGCCACACTCACTGCACACGTAAGGCTTCTCTCCTGAGTGTGTCCTCTCATGTACAATGAGGGTTGACTTGTCACAAAAGCCTCGCCCACATTCCCTGCAAATATAAGGCTTCTCATTTGAGTGTGTCCTCTGGTGTCTGATGAGATTTGACTTCTGGCTAAAACCTCTTCTACACTCCCTGCAGACATAATGCTTCTCCCCTGAGTGTGTCCTCTGGTGGACAAGGAGGAGTGATGTCCGACTAAAGCCTCGGCCACACTCACCACACACATAAGGCTTCTCTCCAGAGTGCGTCCGCTCGTGTATGATGAGGGTTGACTTGTCGCAAAAGCCTCTCCCACACTCCCTGCAAACATAAGGCTTCTCATCCAAGTGTGTCCTCTGGTGTTTGATGAGATCTGAGTTCTGGCTAAAGCCTCGCCCACACTCCCTGCAAACATAAGGCTTCTCCCCTGAGTGTATCCTCTGGTGTTTTCTGAGGGTTGACTTGTCACAAAAGCCTCGTCCACACTCCAGGCACACATAGGGTTTCTCACCGGAGTGTGTCCTCTGGTGTCTGATGAAGGATGACTTCTCACTAAAGCCTCGCCCACACTCGCTGCAAACATAGGGCTTCTCCTCTGAGTGAGTCCACTGATGTCTCTTGAGGATGGACTTATTTCTAAAGCTTTGCCCACACTCCCTGCACAAGTAAGGCTTCTCTTCTGAATGTGTTCTCTGGTGTCTGCTGAGGTTGGACTTCTGGCTAAAACCTCGCCCGCACTCACTGCACACATAAGGCTTCTCCATCGAGTGTGTACGATGGTGTCTGATGAGGGCTGATCTATCTTTAAAGCTTCGCCCACAATCACTGCAAATGTAGGGCTTCTTCCCTAAGAGAGTCCTCGGGTTTGTAATAAAGTTTGATTCCAGGCTACAGTCCGGTTCACACTCTCTACAGTTGATTGCTCCAAATCTCAAGATTTCTGATTCCTTCAAGCCTTTGTCTGGCTGCACAGGGTTTGGTCTTTGGGCTGAGCTGGGCTCTATTTTTACCACCATGTTGCCTTTTCTGGGACTTGCTGACTGTCTTTGGAGTGGGCTGGGGAATGCCCTTGAGGTTTCTCTCTCCTCTGTCCTTGGAGACCAGGGTTTGGAACCACCTCCTCTCTCCTGACCTTCTGCATTTTCATACCAACAGCTTAGATGGGAATACTGCTGCCCCTGCTGTTTCCAATGCCTTGGGCTAGAATTCCCTGGATGGGAGTGATTTTCTGCACATAAGCCCAGGAAGATCTGAAGTACATGCTGGCTGAGGAATTGCTGACAGGAGAAGGCCAGAAGGCAGGAGGAACAAGGGTAGATTTCTGGCTTTGGTTCTGCTGAAGAATGAAAGTTTTCAGTTAGAGTAGCCATAAGTAGGGCTGCTGAGTTGTTCTGCCTTGTCTTAGGACAGAGAATGTTTTACTGCCATACCTGTAATTGATAATATAAGTACAACACAATTTGCTTCTGAGCAATGATTCCTTTACATTCCATCACATTTTCTATTGAGATCCAGAAAATCCACACCAAAAATATCTTGAGAAACCAGGAACCTCTCAAGTGAATATTCTGCTCTGTAAACAACTTCAATTATAATTAGCCTTCTCCTAAGCCACAGACATTCACATTGGTATATACTGTCCACAACTCTTTGTTCTGCTTGGAGATAGTGGTCTCTATGACACATGTGGAAATCCCCTTATGACTTTCCTTATTATATAAAAAAGGGTCTCATAGACATAAAAAGTCCCTCCATCTGGAGGGCTTCCGAATGTAGGAGAAAGTGTATGGAATACTGGTTAAAGAAATTATTGTATATAAAACAAATATAAATTTCAGGCTGCCCACCTGTAAACAAAGACTTATTAGAAAATGTCAAAGTATTAGGTTTTCTACTAAGTATTATGAATTCAACAATGAACAAGACATGGTCTGTGATTTTAGGATTCTGGCACCAAGCCAAAACAACAAAATCTGCCTTTCTTTCCACTTTTCATAAATCAGTAAAAAGAAAAACTTTTCATTTACAGCAGCACCTGCCTATAAAATATCAAAACCAGATGTTGCATTTCATCACAACAGGATCTATCCAATTGATGCTGAGAAATGACCACGTACTTGGCCCCAGACCCTACTGGGCCTAATTAAAGACTTCTGCCTAACTAAGGAACACTGGAATGTTTATAATCAACTGTGTCTGTCCCTAAAAACTCATCCTATCCTATCCAGAATGCTAGTTTTCAAACCTTAATTAGCATAACCATCATGAAACTGCTCCCTAAGAGTAAAACCTTTTATTTTTTCCCCCTCACCAAACTATACAGTGAATTTCTTCACTGCTGTGTCTCCTTGCCTGTTAAGTAAATGATTTGTGCCATTTGATTTTTTGACCTTTTGTGGTCTTTTAGTTTTTGACAATGTGTTTTCCCTTTGGTTGCTTTGACAGGGCACTCACCAGTGCTGGAACTGCTGGACTGCCAGAGGAACACAGCTGTGTGTAGACTGCTCCGTAGGTGCTCAAAGCTGCTTCTGGCAGCCTTGCCATAGGTGAGGCTCTGAGCAGCCGTCAGGCTCTGCTTGCTGTCACTGAGCACTCCCTGGGTTTATTTGGTTTACTTGGGTTCTCAAAGTAACTCATTATTTGTTTCTATTTCTGGTCAGTCATCTCTTATAAGACTTGTGGTCATTCTGGTATTTTGTGACATGAACTTTTTGTCTTGATATTTTGACTGTGATTCACTGCCATCTTTTTGGCTTATCTAGAAGCATACCAGGTCATTCAGACTACAGTCTGAATATATATATGGCAGTGACGTAACACCCTACATCACTGAGAAGTATTTCAGTAGAAAAAATCTCATTTGTGTCTATTTTGTGTTAAACACTGGAACCAAAAGCTCCTTACACTTAACACCCTGCTAAAGGGACCCCGTGTATACTCATTATGATTCTAATCCTTACGCCTTACTAGCAAAGTGTCATCATTTCATTAAAGATAATTTAGATTTACTGAGGCCATTTTGAGGAACTCTGTTTTCTCTCATGCCCCTTTGCTGTATAATAATTCAGTATATATTTCTTTTTTTTTTTTTTTTTTGAGATGGAGTCTCGCTCTCTCTCCCAGTCTGGAGTGCAGTGGCACGATCTCAGCTCACTGCAAGCTCTGCCTCTCAGGTTCACGCCATTCTCCTGCCTCAGCCTCCTGGGTAGCTGGGACTACAGGCGCCCACCACCACGCCTGGCTAATTTTTTGTATTTTTAGTCGAGACAGGGTTTCACCATGTTAGCCAGGATGGTCTCGATCTCCTGACCTCGTGATCCACCCGCCTCGGCCTCCCAAAGTGCTGGGATTACAGGTGTGAGCCACCGCACCCGGCCAATAATTCAGTATATATTTCTAAAGAACTATATAGTTGAGAGATCTGGCTTGCATCATCAGTATATTTACTCATTTGCTTAATCTTAAAATGCAAGGAATAAGGCCAGGTGCAGTGGCTCACGCCTGTAATCCCAGCACTTTGGGAGGCTGAGGCAGGCAGATCACCTGAGGTCGGGAGTTCCAGAACAGCCTGACCAACATGGAGAAACCCCATCTCTACTAAAGATACAAAATTAGCCAGACGTGGTGGCACATGCCTGTAATCCCAGCTACTTGGGAGGCTGAGGCAGGAGAATCTCTTGAACCCGGGAGGCAGAGGTTGTGGTGAGCCAAGATCGTACCATTGCACTCTAGCCTGGGTAACAAAAGCGAAATTCTGTCTTTAAAAAAAAAAAAAAAAAAAAAAAAAATGCAAGGAATATAGTTTCAGAATTGTTGACCCACATCCTTACAAAACACAATATACAAAATATAGTCCATATAGTTCAAGATTTGTATGCAGTTGTTCTTTGTCAATAGAGAAGGAGTTGGCCAATTTTTTCTGCAAAGAACCAAAGAGTAAATATTTTAGGCTTTGTAGGTGACATGGTCTCTGTCATGACTGCTTAACTCTGCCATTGTATAACAAAAGCAGCCATAAATAATTCATTGTTCCAAAAAAACTTTATTTACAAAAACAGGCAGTGAGACAGATTTGGCCTGTAGGCCCTAGTTTGCCAATCCTCATTTTCCTATGGAGTATGGTCAAGGCTGTCTGTTAAATGGGTGGTTTTCCCCTGTTACCTGTGGTCGTGTTATTATTTTGGAACAGTTAGGTAGATTTGTTTCTCTGGGTACTCCATTTTAGGGATTTTCCCTCTCTTTGTTCATTTAATTCCTTTCTTTGAGTATTTAAACACTAATATGCTCCAAAAGTGCAAAACTATTCAGAAAGGACATGCCTCTCCTTTCCATAGCCTTCCAGCCAAATTCCAATATAACCTCACAGCTAACCAATCTCATTAGTTTCTGGTTTATTAACCCTGTATTACTTTGTGGGGGAAAAAAAGAAGAAGAAGAAGAAGAAACAGATATGCATATGCTCATAATTTCTCACTTTTAAAAATATTCTTTGCACTTGGCTCTTTTCACTTAATATATCCTAGAATTTACTCCCTATCAGTTTAGAGGAGCTCTTCCGCATTTTGGAAGGATGTATCATAACTTCTTCAACCAATTTACTACATAAGGGCAATTAGGTTACTCTAATATTTTATAAAGAAACAATGCTATAATGAATAACCTTGTGCAAGTGTACTATCTTTGGAGATGAATCTTCAGGGTAAATTCCTATAGGTAGGATTGCCAGGTCAAAGCATATGCATATATAGTTTTGTTACATGTTGCCAAATTTCCCTCCACAATAGCTGTAGCATTTCTGCATTGCCATCTGCAGTGTATAATGTTGCCTATATCCCTCAGCTTCGCCAAGTGTTCTGTCAACCTTTCGAAATGCTGCCAATGATAAGAATGGTGTGTAGTTTTAATTTGCATTAATCTAATTAGAAGTGAAATTGAACACCTTTTCAAACATTTAAGGGACAATGTTATATTTTATTTTGTGAATTGTCTATTCAGGTATTTTGCCTATTTTCTTCCTATCTGGTTTTAGGGTTCTTCTCTTTGAATTTTAAGATTCATTCTATATTATAGAAAATAACTCTTTATATGTGATATACTATGTGTGGCAAATATTTCCTGGAAATTTGTCCTTTCTTTTGATTTTGCTTACAGTGTCAAACTTATCACTCTTCTCCTCTAGGCATCTGGGCTTTTAGTCAAATTTAGAAAACCTTTTACTATGTCCAGGTGATAGAATGTTTACCCCCATTCTATCCTAGTAGGTTTATGGTTTAATTTTTTACATTTAGATCTAGTCATTTGGGATTTTTCTTGTATATGGTGTGTGGTATATGGTCCAATGTTATGTTTTTCCAGATGGATATCTAGTTGCCCAACCCCATTTATTAAAATGTCCATCTTTACTCCAGGGATTTGCCACCTTCATCACATACCAAAGTTCCATAAGTACTTGGGTTGACTTCCTGACTTGCTCCTTGATTCCACTGGTCTATTTGTCTAGTCATGGGCCAGCACCACAATGTTTTCTTTCTTTATTTTCTGCTTGCAGCTTCAACTCAAAGGACACATTTTAATTCTAAAGGTTTTATAGCATACTTTAGTGTCTGATAAGGATAGTACCCTGTTATGGCTTTTATTTTTCAGTGTATTCTTGGTTATTTTTCCACCTTTATTTTTCCATGTGAATTTCACAAAAGAATTTCACTTTTTTATTGGGACATGTTAACTTTTTGAATTACCTTAGGGATAACTGACAACCTGATTTTAATCTATAAAAATATTTTTTGAGGTCAGGCATTGTGGCTCACACCTGTAATCCCAGCACTTCGGGACACCCACGCAGGTGGATCACTTTAGACCAGGAGCTCAAGACCAGCCTGGGCAACATGGCAAAACCCTGTCTCTACTAAAAATACAAACAATTAGCTGGCATTGTGGCATGCACCTGTAATCCCAGATACTAGGAAGGTTGAGGTGGGAGAATCACCTGAGCCCAGGAAGTTGAGGCTGCAGTGAGCTATGATCATGCCACTGTACTCCAGCCTGGATGACAGACGTGAGACCCTGTCTCAAAATATATATAATTTTTTTTTAATCAAAGAAATTTTAACACAGATTTGGTATTAGATGATATCATTAACTTTGTTGAATGTAGTTATGGTATTGTGGTTATGTAAGAATCCATTTTCACTTTTTAGAGAAATGTGGTATATTTAAGGGTGTCATGATATTTAGAATTAACTTTGAAATAATTTGGCCAGAAAGGGAGAAGTGAATGATAATGCAAGCAGGCAATGTGTTAGTAACTATTAAGTCTAGGTAATTCGTGTTGCTCCTTGATCTATCAGCCAAACAAACACTTATTTCTTTCTTTTTTTTTTTTTTGACACGGAGTCTCGCTGTCGCCCACGCTGGAGTGCAGTGGCCGGATCTCAGCTCACTGCAAGCTCCGCCTCCCGGGTTCACGCCATTCTCCTGCCTCAGCCTCCCAACTAGCTGGGACTACAGGCACCCGCCACCTCGCCCGGCTAATTTTTTGTATTTTTTAGTAGAGACGGGGTTTCACCGTGTTAGCCAGGATGGTCTCGATCTCCTGACCTCGTGATCGGCCCGTCTTGGCCTCCCAAAGTGCTGGGATTACAGACTTGAGCCACCGCGCCCAGCCACGAACACTTATTTCTAAGATTCAGCCTAAGCTACCCTCTTGCAGCAAACGGTATTTTGGTCACAATATCTGCTGTTCCTCCCCACTGAGCCCATCTCTGAAGGAGGATTATCTTTCCCACCACAGTGACATCAGACTTAGCTGTGGGATTTGCTTTGGCCAATGAAGGTTAGCGGAAAGTCAGTGCACTTTCAAACAAGTTTTAAGAGCCACGATGTGGTCCCATCATTGCTCTTTTTCCCTATACCTTGAGAACCCCACGATCCAGACAGAAATTGCTCCTTTTGCTTGGATCCCAGAACCAAGAGAGTTGAACCACACCTGAAGTAACCAAGAGGTAATGTAAGTGAGAAATGAACATTGGCTATTATAAGTATTGGGGTTATCACAGTATTATCTGGTCTAAGCTTATTAAATTATCTCCCCTGTGAAGGCTTTAAAGATTATTTCAGAAAGAACTGGCCCATTTATTTCTAACAATGCCCTTGAAGAAAAGACATTAACATGAATATGTGAAGAAAGAGAGAAAAACAGATTTGGGCTGAGCAACATGGCTCACACCCGTAATCCCAGCACTCTGGGAGGCCAGGGTGGGTGGATTGCTTAAGCCTAGGAGTTCGAGACCAGCTTGGGCAATGTGGCAAAACTCTGTCTGAAAAAAAAGAAATAAAATAAAATAAAATAAGGAAAGAAAAGGAAAAGGGAAAGGGGAAAAAGAGAAGAAAGGGGAAAAGAGAAAGAGAAAAGAAAGAAAGAAAGAGAAAGAGACTGGTTTAGGAGGAAAAATGGTATGCTGTCAAGTTTTTATAACTTAAAGAATAAACTTGCGGTTGCAGGCAAGGAGAAATATGGGGATGAAGCACAGGTGAGACAGCGGTAGATAATGGGTTCGTTATAATATGTGATGGGGAAAATTGTTAAAGTTCACAAATTGTTAAAGGGTATAAATATAAACACGGAAAAGGAGCATGTGACACTAACTCCTATGGACCCCTGCAGTCCAAAGAAAAGAAAAAGAAGAAAGAGAATAGCCCAAAAGAGAGACGAAGAGGCTGGAAACTGTGGAACATTATGGTGTCAAGCAAGACAAAGCAAACAATTTCAAGGAATGCAATTGGGATCCAGGTTTTTAATATCAAGATTCATTTGAACTAAGTCATTTGTTTGTTTGTTGTTTTATGGGTTTTTTGTTTGTTTGTTTGTTTGAGATGGAGTTTTGCGCTTGTTCCCCAGGCTGGAGTGCAATGACATGATCTCGGCTCACTGCAACCTCCACCTCCTGGGTTCAAGTGAATCTCCTGCCTCAGCCTCCTGAGTAGCTGGGATTACAGGTGCCTGCCACCACACTTGGCTATGAACCAGGTCATTTTTAACATTTTCCTCTGAATCAGTTATATGTATTAACAGTGGGAGAGAAAACAGTATGACCAGAGAAAAATAAAAACAAAACCTAGTTGGACTAAGTAGCTAAGACCAAATCAAAACACACTAAACCATTCACAAAAATTATCAATCTTTTTTTTTAAAAGAAAAACACAGCCCACACAGAACCAGTCCGAAATGGATGAATCTATACTGATTTAGATGGAGCCAGGTCAGATGGGAGCTAGTTCAAACCAGAGGGAATCAGATCAAAACACATCAAAGAAGATGAAAATGGAATAAGGTAAGTCTGATTAAATCATATCAGGGAAACAGCCATGCCATTTGGAGCAAACTCCTGAAGAAACTCCTCCCTGAAACTGGTTTGTGTCTCCAAAAATGTGATTCTTCCCTACATGTTGTATCTAGAAATATAGGAATATCTAGAACAGTAAGCTCCAGTATAGCAGCCACTGGCCATGTGTTTACTGAACACTTGAAACGTGGCTAATCTGAACTAAGATGTGCTCTAAGTGTAAAATACAACCAGGTTTTGAACACAGTACAAAAAAAATAAGTAAAATACCTAATTAATAAGTTTTTACGTTAATTTCATGTTAAAATGATATTTTAATATATTGGGTTAAATAATATATATATTCTTAAAGTTGATTTCACCTGTAGTTACACTTGTAAAAATGTGGTTACTAGGAAATTTAAAATTACCTATGTGGCTCACATTATATTTCTACTAGACAGCACTGATCTAGAACAAGGAGTGGAAAATGACTGCCCACAAGCTAAATCCAGTCCTCTGTTTTTGTATCACCTACAAGCTAAGAATGGTTTTTACATTTTTAAGTGGCTAGAAAAAAGTAAAAAGAGTAGTAATATTTCATGATACATAAACATAATATTAAATTCAAATTTCAGTGTCTATAAAGTTTTATTGGAACACATCCACGCTCATTCGTTTGCATATTGTTTATGGCTGCAACTCAATGGCAAGTTAAGGGTTGTTACAGAGGCCTTATTACCTGCGAAAACAGTTATTGTTTGGCCCTTTACAGAAAAAGTTGGCCAATCCCTCATCTAGAGTTATGTTGCAATTGACATTTATCAACCCAGATTTAAATAATTTTTTTATTTTTAATTTTTATTTTTTCAGACTGAGTTTCACTCTGTCACCAGGCTGGAGTGCAATGGCACAATCTCAGCTCACTGCAACCTCCGACTCCCTGGTTTAAGCGATTCTCCTGCCCCAGTCTCCCAAGTAGTTGAGATTACAGGCACATGCCACCACACTCAGCTAATTGTTGTATTTTTAGTAGAGACGGGGTTTCACCATGTTGGCCAGGATTGTCTCGATCTCCTGACCTCGTTTAGGTTTGCAAACAAACGAAAAAGAAAAAAACATGGTTTATGAAACCCCCAAACCACAATAAACTTGACTCTTAATTTTAACTTACATCACAGAGCTGCATCTCTCCCTACTCTCCCCCTTGCAAACCACGCCCCAAGCCTCACTGGCCTCCTTGTAGCTTCATGTATTGGGCAGGTACATCCCTTCATTAAGGTCTTCGTGTCAGTAATTCCCTCCACCTGAAATGCTCGTACCCTAGATACCTACAGTTCTAACCTCCTCACCACATTATGTCTTTAGCCAAATATTACTTCTTCAGTGATTTCAAATACCCAGTTTTAAAATTCAGCCAGTCACCCTATCACACCCAATACCCCTTTATCCTGCCTTATATCATTATTTTTTACTAAGTTGCACTTATCACCTTTTAACATACCGTATTATAATATCCTTGTATATGAAGCTTTTGGTTTGTTGTCTGTCTCCTTATACTAGAAAGTAAGCCCCATGGAGGCAGGGATTACGATTTTGTTTACTAATGTGTTGTAAATATCTAGAACATTTTTTTGTGGTACATAGTAGGTGATCAATAAATTGCTATTGAATTAATGAAGGAAAGGAAAGAACACAGCCTCACCCAATGAGAGAAGATTCCTATAATTCTCCAGCATCACTTCTTTGTATAGATTCCTCTGCTCTGGACTCAGTCTCTTCCATTCTGCTTCTGTGAAGATCACAGCCACATCCCTGAATGTAACTGGTACCTACAAACAACCAGTAAATTAATGTACAGCAAGCCACCATCAATCTTCCCTGTGTGTGGAGCACAGCTGGTGACCCTGGAGAGCCTGGATATGCAAGTTGATGTAATTCATCAGAATATATGGTTCTCCCTATGAAGAAGTTCTGAACACTACTGTGTGCCTAGTTTTCTGTTAAAATCTGTGAGGAGCATAACTGAGCACAGAACACATTCTAGGCCCTTGACATGTATGATTTCACTGGAGAAATGATTTGTGAATTACTTTGTAAACCTCAGGCTGTGTTTAGGACAGTGACCTTGAGAATTCATAATGAAGGAATTCAGAGATAAAACAGCAGAGAATGGGCTGCAGAAGGAACAAAAGCATCACAGACTTAGGGCTTGTGCTGGGCAGCAGGGAGTGGTAAAGATTTAGAAAGAATGGAAGAAAACTTCGATTACAGAGAAAAATGGGAGTGAACAGATGGGGTCTGGAATGAGCATTTCTTAAAAGCTCAGGTTACTAAATGGGATCTATAAAATCCTTGTCTTTGCTATGTGCTTTAACAACTTTTTTCAAGAAAGCCTAATGCTTCACTCATCTACCCAGATGTTGACCGCCTTTTCCCTTCCCAAGAAAGAGAATATATGTCTGTTCTCTGGGAAATGAGCCAGCACTTCAGGGGAAAAAAAAATGTAATCCCAACTCACCACTATTTGGGCTTTTCCCTCCTTTTCCTGGGGCCAGTCAGTATCATTAGAAGGCAAGCCTAGTGAAAGAAAAAGAAGCTATGAGAAACCAGACCCCCGCCCCCCAGGCTCCCTGAGCAGCTCTTTTGAACCTTAGGATGAAGGAAGTAGTCACTTTACTCAGAGGTGACCTCTGAAGCATTTTCAGGTGAACCTGGAGACTTGGCTTCCTCTTCATCTTTCTGGCCCTTTCTCACCTTTCGCTTTATGATTTTGGATCAGTTTCTTCATGGTCTCTACATTTTCCCCATTCTTTGAAAGCAAAATCTCTTCCCAGTATTGATCTCCCAGTGCTGAAGGATGAGGCAACATCATGGCCCCAGAGTCAGCCCAGTGTGAGCCTTGAAATTCTGCCAGAGGTCCAGGTAGATGTTATTTCATCTCAAGATGGAGTTCTGCTGCCTGTGGTGACTTCTTCCAACCTTAATTGTAAAAGCTCATCTTGTTTCCATGCAGCCAGGACCTGTGGGGTGAAGAAGCAATTTGCTATTGCTGGGGCTTTTATTGTGGGCCCTAGGCTTATGCCTCTTCAACAGGGATCCTGTTCTCTCACACCCTCCTCATTCAACAAACAGAGTCTCCATCTACAAGGGTTCCCTGGATTTTCTACCTTCATTCACTCTACCTTCATTTCTAGGCCCTCATGCTTATGTTCTGCCACTTTCCCTTAGCTCTCAAACCTTACTTCTTCTGTCTCTGTACCTCAGATTCAAACTCTATGTTTCAGATCAGTCTCTGCTTCTACCTGAAGCCTGAGTCAGAGAGAAGACAGAATATAACATAATGCCTATGGAGAAAGAGCCTCTGACTGTTTCCTGCAGACCAATCAAGGCGTGCAGAACTCAGCTTCTGATTCCCCTGCCCCAACCCCAGGTTCCATCTATATTCAGTTACTTATGTCTTGGATGGGCACAGTGGCTCACACCTGTAATCTCAGTACTCTGGGAGGCCAAGGCAAGCTAATTGCTTAAGCTCAGGGGCTCAAGACCATTCTGTGTAACATAGCGAAATGCCATCTCTACAAGAAATACAAAAATTAGTTGGGCATGATGGTGTGGGCCTATAGTCCTAGCTACTCAGCAGGCTAAGGTGGGAGGATCACCTGAGCTCAGGGAGTCAAGGCTGCAGTGAGCTGAGATCGTGCCACTGCACTCTAGCCTGGGTGACAGGAGTAAGACCCTGTCTCAAAAAAAGAAAAAAAAAAAAAAGATCCCTATGTCCCTGGTATTCTGAGGAGTTTAGGAGATCAAAAGTCAGTCCTTCTTACTTAAGGGAGAGCTCCAGGTCTCACAATTACTCTAAAGCGATAACCTCCTAGCTTCCATTTCTATGCATGTCTACAACATGACCTTACCAGAGATGTGCATTTGTGTATCCTGATGGGCCCAAATCAAAGTCCTACACTGATGTGGTCCCAGAGAAGGCAGGTGGTATTAGGAGTTATGCCACCTTCAGAAGCTCCTCAGACACTGTCCAGGATTTCAGCCCAAATGACTACAGGCCTATTGTTACCTAGTACCCTTCTGAGACTAGCTGGGGTCTCTAAGCAGCTCTTGTAATTCATCCCTCAACACCACAGGCAGAGATGACCACTCCCTCTTCTGTCCAACCTGGGCATCATACCATATTGCAATTTCTCTATTTACATGACTGTCTTGACTAAACTGTGAAGCTTCTCATAAGATGAAATGAATTTCAGTCTTTTTGCTAATCTACTTTTAGTGATTAGGATAAAAGAGGCCTTTGTGGTAGATTTTATCATCATTCCCAATTATTTGTTACCCTATAAAAAGACGGTACTTCCTTGTCCCAGACATCAGGCTTGACCTTGTAACTTGCCTTGGAAAATGAATGAGTGAAAGCAACGATGCCGTTTCTAAGCATTGCATAATTCCACCATTTCTCTTGTTCTGAGAACAGCATGTCCCCAAAGGGACTGTGGTTCTATTGTAAAAGGTCATGGTACAAAGCTAAAGCCAACCTATAATACCTGCAGTACAACGTAGCTGAAGCTGACAAAACCTTTCTCCTAGTAACACTAGTATCTGTAGCTAACATTTATAAAGCAAGATCTTTAAGTGCAGACTTTTTTTTTTTTTTTTTTTTGTGAGACAGAGTCTCGCTCTGTTGCCCAAGCTGGAGTGCAGTGCTGTGATCTCGGCTCACTGCAACCTCTGCCTCCTGGGTTCAAGTGATTCTTTTGCCTCAGCCTCCCAAGAACCTGGGATTACAGGTGCCTGCCACCACGCCCGGCTAATTTTTGAATTTTTAGTAGAGACGGGGTTTCACCATGTTGGCCAGGCTGGTCTTGAACTCCTGACCTCGTGATCTGCCTGCCTTGGCCTCCCAAAGCACTGGGATTACATGCATGAGCCACCATGCCTGGTTACTAGGTACAGACTTCTGTTAATCTTCACAAAACAGCCAAGAGGTGGATGCTGCTATTTCTTTCCATCTCACAGAGGAGGAAACTGGAGCATGAAGAGGTTGGTTTATTTGTCTTTAAGATTACACAGCTACCAAATGTGTTCTAGGCACAGCCACAAATCTTAGCACATTGAAGGCCCAATCAATAGTGGGAACTAGGGCTGGGTGAGAATGGGTTTATGGGCTTGCGTCCTTGTAGTAGCATGTTTCACTCTCCATCCCCAGTGTGTGCCACTCCTTATAGGTATACACCCTATCACGTTGAACTCAGGAGTGACCATGTGACTTGATTTGCCAGTGAGCTATGATCAGAATTGTCTCTTTGGGTAGAATCTAGTGATGGGGACAGTTTTCACACTATTTATACTGGAGCTTTGGAATGGCTTCAGAATGCTGGAAAATGCTGGAACCCTAAAAGTGAAAAGTCAGCTAAGCTACAAACGACTGTCTATAGTTATCATTTTGCTATTGTTTGTTTTTTCTAGGAATCTGAGGACACACCACATAGCTCCCAGACCATGTTTCCTCCTACCTGCTGGACATCTCACTTCAGCAAACACTTACTGAACATCTGCTACAAGCTAGGCACTGGGATGAGCTTTGCAGATATCAGGGAAATATGACAGCACCCTGTCACGGAGAGCCCAGCTGAGGTGTGCAGCGCCGTGAGCAGGGCAGTCCGCAAGCTGTCACATAAACACCTAGTCTCCTTTCCTTCTCTTCCTAACCTGCTACTCCTTCTTTCCTCAGCTTCTTCACTTCCAAGACTCCCAGTTCCATCACCACACTTGACCTCTGGGTCATCACTGACTCTATGCCTCCCTGCCACGCCTAACCAATTACAAAGGCCTGTAGATTCTGTCCACATCAGAGCTGCCTCCCATCACCCCGCACCAGCTGGGAAGCTCAGACAACAGCAACAGCCTCCTGACAGGGGTCTCTGCAGATCTCCCCCACACCCCGATACTCCTTATCCATGCCTCCCACAATTGGCTCTATGTGCTGTTGATTGAGCTATTCAATCGTTCCATAATTACCAGTGCCCACTGTGTGCTAAGGACTGCTCCAACATTTGGGATACTGCTGCAAATGCAACAGAAAAAATACCAGCCCTCATGTAGCTGCCATTTTAGTGCGGTAGGGGCAAGGAGATGGACAAAAATAAAATATAGCTCAGAAAACACACAAGATGTCAGATGGCGATACGCACTGAGGGCACCAGAAGGATCCAGTGGTAGAGACTGGAGGAGTTGCAATTTTAAATTGAGTATTTAAGGAAAGCTTTTTAAAGGTGATTACTTGAGATCTGAACAATGTGAGGGAGTGATTCATGTGGGCCACTGTGTCAACAGAACTATAAGGAAAGAAACCAGCCCATTGAAGGTCCTAGGGCAGGAGTGAGCCCTGCTCTTTCAGAAATACATTCCCTGTGGCAGAAGGGTGTGAGACACAGTGGTGGCAGTTAAAAGCAGTCAAGGACAGCGGTACCAGGGCACAGGTCATGTGCAGTCTTGAGAATGCTGGTCTTGATGTGGAGGGAAATGAGAAGCCATCAGAGGATTTGGAGCAGAGGGATAACAAGCTTGGATTTACATTTTAAAAGATGTCTCTGGCTGGTAGACTAGGAACAGACAAAGGGGACAGGGGACAAGGAGAGAGGCAAGGAAATCTCATAAAGGCTGTTGAAATAATTCAGGTGGGAGATAATGGTGGTTTGGACAAAAGTGGACACAGCGGAGGTGGTGAGTAGCAATCACATCCTGAATTTCTTTACTGTATGTGATTTGCGAGATGAAAAGAAAAATCAAGACAATTCTAAGATTTTTGCCTTGAGCAGTTGGAAGGATAAGACTTACCATCAGCCATGCATGGTGGTTCATGCCTTTAATCCCAGCACTTTGGGAGGCCAAAACGGGCGGATCACCTGAGGTCGGGAGTTCGAGACCAACCTGACCAACATGGAGAACCTCCATCTCTACTAAAAATACAAAATTAGCCAGGCATGGTGGCACATGCCTGTAATCCCAGCTACTCAGGAGCTTGAACCCGGGAGGCAGAGGTTGTGGTGAGCCGAGATCATGCCATTGCACTCTAGCCTGGGCAACAAGAGCAAAACTTCGTCTCCAAAAAAATAAAAAGTTGTTTGGTGCTAAAGAAGAGGCTGAGGACAACTTTGCCTGAGAAAATCAAGGCATGCTTTGCAATGGAGTAAATGTGTGACTGAATCAATAGGAGCTCAATTGCCAAGTAGAAAACCACAGAGGAATAAAACAGTATAGAATGGAATCTATTCCCATACAGCTACAAGGGCGCACTACTACAAAAGGAGTAACTGGTAGGGACAAGACTGAAAAGGTGAGTTGAGAGATAATTCAGATATTAATCAGATATCAATATTAACAATTACAGTTCATATTTACTAAGCATATACTATGTGCCAGGCACTACCTTATAGGAATTATCTGCCAGGCCTTACAGGAATTACCACATTTCTTCCACACAACTCCCTGAGATGGGCACTATTATTTTCCCCATTATACAGATGAGGAGTAGAAGACACAGTGAAATAATGTCTCCAAGGTTACACAGCTAATGTGTGGTAAAGATGGGCTTTGAATCTAGGCAGTCTGTCTCCAGAGCCCACACCCAGGCTGGAGTGCAGTGGTGCGATCTCAGCTTACTGCAACCTCCACTTTCCAGGCTCAAGCCATCCTCCCATCTCAGCCTCCTGAGTAGCTGGGACCACAGGTGTGCACCACCATGCCCAGCTAATTTTTCTATTTTTAGTAGAGATGGGGTTTTGTCATGTTGCCCAGGCTGAGTTCAAGCGATCCATCCCTTCAGCCTCCCAAAGTGCTAGAATTATAGGTGTGAGCCACCACACGTGGCTTCACACTGTAATTACTGAGTTTGGACAGAGTTGAAGGTAGGTAATAAGAAATGGCCCGCTTGAGTAGGTGAGTGGCATGATCTTTATTTTTTCTTCAGAGGAGCAACTTAAAAGGCAGGGTGGAAGGTAAACTAGTGGTGGAGAAGAGATGAAAATTTGGGTAGCACAGCAGTGAGATGAGGGGAAAAGAATAAAGGGGTATGCCAAGGTAGAATTGAGAGGACTCCATCACTAATTAGAAGGATGAGAATTTCAGTATCAAAGTTATAAGCTACATAAAAGTTCAACTGTTCAAAAAAATTTACTGGGCTAGCTTTCTATTATAGGTATTGTTAGATTATAACAATATAGGTATTGTTAGATTATATTGCTCTGATAAGATTACTTTTTAAAAAGTTTGTACTTTTCTGTAAATCAAAAGAATATGGAGTCATAAAATGGCAAGTGTTTTAGGGTTAGCCTAAAATTGGGCATTGTCATCGATTTCAAAGAAGGTATGAACTAGCAGGCTTAAACAGCCTAATTCTTCTTTGGACTGGTCCTTGGCAGCAGTTCCTTTTCAGACTCAATACACAGAATTCAGACAGATATAAGTCAAAACAAAACTTTACAAAGCCAAACGTATTATCTTTTGCATTAACCTATTTTTTTCCATCATACATGCTACTAGTATGTGCATTAGCATGATATTCTAACATACATTGCATTAAAAATTAAAAGGTGGCGCCAGGTGCGGTGGCTCAAGCCTGTAATCCCAGCACTTTGGGAGGCCAAGACGGGCAGATCACGAGGTCAGGAGATCGAGACCATCCTGGCTAACACAGTGAAACCCTGTCTCTACTAAAAATACAAAAAAAAAAAAAAATTAGCCGGACGAGGTGGCGGGCGCCTGTAGTCCCAGCTAGTTGGGAGGCTGAGGCAGGAGAATGGCATGAACCCGGGAGTTTGCAGTGAGCTGAGATCTGGCCACTGCACTCCAGCCTGGGCGACAGAGCGAGACTCCGTCTCAAAAAAAAAAAAAAAAAAAAAAATTAAAAGGTGGCAGCTCAGGGTGAGCTTTTCTGTTATTCATTTCTTCCTAAATTTTTAAGGGCTTTTTCTCAGTCAATAGTTTGTACAAACTGGTTAGTTTAACTTCAATACCCATTTCATTAAAGTTGATGGATCGTGATGAGATGCATTTAAGGCAGATAGTGATCAATGTTTTTTTTATCTCTTGAACACAAGCTTTGTCTGAATGATATTCTTTTATCTCTTGAACACAAGCTTTGAATAATAACTACAGGTTTTAAGTGCTGTTACATTAATACCATAATGTATGTGTTAGAAACAAAGGGCTATTTCAAAGGTAGATACTTGAAAATTCTCTAGTCTCAATGTATATGTGTATTGAATATACTCTAAAAATAAATGTGCAATTTGCCAGTAGGACAATGCAGTGATTAACATTAGGTATGTCTCTTTGATATCCTAGCTATGTCCCACTTTCTTCTAAGTGCAATCCTTTCATGTTCACTTGCTGTTTCACCCCATCTACTCTAACTTCATTTGGAAGACTTGTCTAGAGGATAGCATGTATTTTTACCTTTGCAGTGAATTGTATATGCTAATTGTAACCACAGCTATTTTTATGTTAACATAACTCCAAATGTTATATTAAATGTTCTATTATATATCAACTCTAATCCCTTAAGTAAATTTTAAGAAATAAGTTCTTGTTCAAAAAAAGAAAGGAAGAAGGATAAGAATTTCAGAAATAACAAGGTGGCAAGAAAGACTCAGAGCTCCCGTTGGTGACCAGGGGTGGAAGACACAGTTATTAACAGAAATCAGCAACAGATAAAGAGAAAAGGGAGAGGGAGAATTGGCCTTGCTGAATTCCAGATACTTCTCCCTCTTATACTTCTTACCTTAATTGTTAAGTGTGTACAGTTTGCACTAAGCAATGGCACTTTTTTAGAAGAAATGGGCAGATTTTAAAACAATCTAGAATTAAGACATTAAGGAATTACTGTCGGTTTTGTTGAATATGGTAATATTATGGTTACATTTTTAACAAACAGTCCTTCTCTGTTGGAAATGCATATGATAGTATTTTTAGGTAAAATTATGTGATGTCTGGGATTTCCTTCCAAATACTCCAGCAGCAAAAACAAGAAAATGAGGGGGCAGGGGCTCAATGAAACACGGATTACAGAATGTTGGTAACTAAAGAAGTTCTAAATCCTAATTCTACCCAACCCAGTCATATTACACAAGTAAATTTCTTAACCTCTGTAACATGCCACTTCTTCTATCAATTCAGAGTTTTGATTCCTAACTTTCAAATTGTTGAGAGTTTAAAATATTATGGAGACCATAAACCCAGTTGCCTGGCAGATAACAGTGGCCCAATAAATGGTAATTACCATCATTTTTTATTTCACAGTAGCTGACAAATCCCTGGGAATCCAGCAGCCAGGATGAAATATGCCTGGGGCAAAGATGGTGGTTACCTTAATGAGAGTACCAGTCTGGGGTAATATTCCCTGTGGAGATCCTTGCCCTTAAAATCGCCCCACTATTGTAGAAAAGCAAGCAAGGCCTTGAGCCTCAATTTGGACACTTCAGGGTACAGATGTCAGATGGGCAAAGGAAATTCAGCCATGGTTTCGAGCAGAAATGACACTACAGGAATGTGAAAGGTAAGTGGTACCTACCTGATAGGAGGTTCTCAGGAGCACAGAAGTCCTTCCTTTCTCAAGAGATAGTCCTCTCCCAGCAGGCAGGTATTGGAGAAGGTGGACCTGAGGATGAAACAGGCAGTGTGAATTTCAGGATTGTCTCCTAGCACCCAGATATGGAGGCTAGAAATCCCCAAGTTTAAAATGAGTGCGCCAGCTAGGAGCGGTGGCTCATACCTGTAATCCCAGCACTTTGGGAGGCCAGGGCAGGTGGATTACCTGAGGTCAGAAGTTTGAGACCAGCCTGACCAACATGGAGAAATCCCGTGTCTACTAAAAATACAAAATTAGCCAGGCATGGTCGCGCTTACCTGTAATCCCAGCTACTCGGGAGGCTGAGGCAGGAGAATCGCTTGAACCTGGGAGGCTGAGGTTGTGGTGAGCTGAGATCGCACCACTGCACTCCAGCCTAGGCAACAAGTGTGAAACTGTGTCTCAAAAAAAAAAAAAAATTGAGCAGGCCTCCTCTTCCTTTAACAAGAAAGCCTCAGATCTGTCAGAGAAGAGAATAATGTAAACAGCTTCTAGGGCACAGAACCACGTGGGGACATCAGAATACAGTCTGCCCTGACAAGCTGCTATTACATATTTATCCCTTTAATGCCTATGGGCCTCAAGTTGTACTATTATTAGTAATAGTTAACACTTACTAAACTCTGACTGTATACCAGAGACAATTCCAGGCACCATACAAGTTTTACCTACCCAAAGCTCCATGAGTTACATACCTTCCTCAAATTGACAATGCTAGAAAGTGCCTAGATTTGAAGTCTAGCTGTGGAGCGCCACACCCTTAGCCAGCTGGGCCAGTAATGATGTCAGCAGTGACCAATCCCTATGGGGTCTGACAATTCTCAAAGTGTATCCACACATAGGGTTTAGGGGATGTAGATGAAACAGAATTGGCCATGAGTTAACAAATGTTGAATCTGGTGACAGGTCCGTGGCAGTTCATTGAATGGCTCTACTGGGTAGGTTTAAAATGTGCCCTTATGAAAAAATTAAAAATTAAATTAAACGCCTGATATCCAGAACTTGCCATATGCCAGAAGTGATTTGGATTGTCGACCAGAAGCCATCAGAGTTCTCCACCATACCTAACCCTTCACAGCCCCAAACCAGATATTTGGCCCTAATGTGTGAGGAAAAAGCAGTCCAGGAAAGGAGTCAGCCAAATGGGCCACCCAGATGACGACCACACCCAGGACCTCTGCCACAAAGCACAGGGAGCACCTCCCACATGACACGCCTTGAGATAACAAGTCCCAGAGAAAAGGCCTGTCCCCATTTAAAAAAAAAAAAAAACTACCTAGATGTATGTCAGAGTGATACAGCCCGCTATTATCAGAGGACAAAACCTCCCTCACCTCCCTAAAAACCCCAGGGACTCCTGACCCAAGACACTCGCCCAGACCCTCTCAGGATATTCTGACCACGTCTAGCTCACCTCCACTTCCACCCCTGCAACCCCTAACAAACCAAGGCCCATCAAGCATCAAGGCCTGAGATGGCCTCCCGCAAACCACCCTCGTCACCACTTGGGACATATCCAGCCCCACCCAAAACACAGAAAAACTCGGAGATGCAGGACTCAGAACGCTCCCCAGCCAAAAACCACCCAGGGATGTGCGGACCTAGCCACGTCCCCATCCCAGCCTTGGGGATGTTGGTCCATTTGGCCCTGGCAGAACTCAACCCCACAGCCCAAATAAACCCCAGGACGCACAACTGGGGCCGCCCTTCCTATTCGAAAACCGGTTGACCCAGAATAATCCCGCCTGGTTCAAGACAGACGTTAGAATTCCAGGTCACTCTCACAAGACAGACGATAGAATTCCAGGTCACTCTCGTCCTCCCAGGGGAAAAAAGGTCCGCAGAGGTCCCGGCAAGCAGGGGCTCACCCCATCGCCCCGTCCCAGGGAGCACCGCGAGCTGCGCCCCCTCCTCCAAAAACCAAATATCTCCAACCCGCACTCCCCATCGGCCACACTCTACCCTGCGTCCTAACCTACACCCGGCCTTTCCCGAACCTCCTTTCCCCACGAGAGAGGGCATCCTGGGGCCAAGGAGCCGCGGAGGCCGCGCTCACCCGAGCCAGTGGGCCCGGGACCTCGGCCGTCGACCTACGCCAGAACTACAGTTCCCAACATCCTCGCAGGCTTCGGCTCCCATTGGCCGCCACGTAGCCGTTTCTGGGCCGTGCAACGGTTAATTTTCCAGGACATTGGCTACTGCAGTGACATCCTCTCTGTCTCTTCTTAAAATACCCATGCTGGGCTGGGCGCAGTGGCTCACGCCTGTAATCCCAGCACTTTGGGAGGCCGAGGCGGGCGGATCACGAGGTCAGGAGATCGAGACCATCCTGGCTAAGACGATGAAACTCCGTCTCTATTAAAAATACAAAAAAATAGCAGGCGTGATGGCAGGCGCCTGTAGTCCCAGCTACTCAGGAGGCTGAGGCAGAATGGCGTGAACCTGGGAGGCGGAGCTTGCAGTGAGCCGAGATCGCGCCACTGCACTCCAACCTGGGCGACAGAGCGAGACTCCGTCTCAAAAGAAAAAAAAGAAAAAAAGAAAAAAGAAAAAAAAGCCATGCTGAAAACAGGTTCTGGCTCCCGAGTGAAGTCTCTGTCCTCTAGGCCCATTCTGCCAAAAAAAAAAAAAAAAAAAAACTACCCTCCCCACAAGCCTCTGCGGCAGCTTCGGCAGGCGCTTCCGGAAGCTGAGATTACCGAGGGAAGTCATTTCCGATTGGCGAATCTAGACGGAGCAGTGCGAGAACTGTCAGGCGTGCATTGGGTACAGAGTTTCCTGCACTGGACCCACTGAATTCCCTGGGCTGAGGCTCCATAGCATGCGAGCTAGCTTATGTGAGCACTATGTAGATTCGACTTCGTGCTGCCTGTGGGACACAGGCAGGGCAAAACCGCCTCCCAGCGTCTCAGTTGAACCCTTACCCTCAACACCAGTGCACTCCTGTGGGTGGCCTGTAGTCACCTTCCTCTTGTCGAAGTCCTCAGAGTTAGTGACAGACTCTCATCCAGTTTCTGGAGGAGGGAAGCCTCACTCAGGATGGAGTCTGGCTCTGTGGCCTCTTATCTTAAGATCCCGATTCAGATCTGTGCTACTGGAGCCGGGCGTGGTGGCGCGCGCCTGTGATTCCTGTAACGCCGAGGGAGGCTGAAGCTGGAGATGGCTTGAGGCCAGGAGTTAAATATATATATTTTAAAAATAATAATTTTTTAAAACTGGGCTACGCTGATACCTTGTGCAACACGGCAATTGGGGTTTTGCAGATCAGACCTTCAGCTCATAGGAGGAGTGTTTAAATCTTAATGGCAAATACAAATTGAATTAAATTTTACTTCTTACTGAAAGGGAAATAAACCTGACCTCCCGCCCTTGGAGTATTTCCGTAAGAAATCTATGTGTAAATGCCGCTTTGATATGTACCTGACACTTGAAACGCTGAATAAGCACCGGCCAGCTTTACGAAATAGGAATGTTTCCCCCAAAGGTCTGGTGAGCCATCTCTTTGAAATGTAAACAGTGACGAAGATAGTGCCCTTATCTCCCTGTCACCTTGGGAGTTTAGCTTAGGTGCCTAGCTCCAAACTGGTAACCGCCCGCTTGTCATAGATAAAAGTTTTATTTTTTATTTTTGATAAAGGCAATTAAAAGATGGCTACTCCAATTACCAGGTGAATTTAGGATGAACTATGAAAAATTGTACAGCAAACAATGTCAAATCCTCTTACAAGGGGGCAAATTACCATTAATTTTGAGGACATGTTTGTAATAGATTGTATCTGCCCAACTAGATAAAAAGTAAGATCTCTTTCTGTCTGGCATCTGATTAGCAGATTGTATATGATGTGCTTCCCAGTCCAGTTCAATATTATTTGGTAATAAAACTTATCTTTATTTTCTACGTTTGTGTAGGGGATTTTCTGGGTTAGCAGGAGATTTTGTTTTTATTTTTTCCAACACCCCCTTCCATCCTCTTATTTCTTTTTACCTTCCCAATGTCAGCCTTCTGAGACTTCTCTGTTCTCCAGTACTCAGGAGATAGAGAACAAGGCCCCAAGGCCATTGTGAGCCAGAAGACAGACAAACAATTCTTGATATTCTGTCCTGGCTTTCACAGAAAGGACCAATTCCCTTCTCTTTTTTTTTTTTTTTTTTTTTTTTTTTTTTTGAGATGGAGTCTGGCTCTGTCACCCAGGCTGGAGTGCAGTGGCCGGATCTCAGCTCACTGCAAGCTCCGCCTCCCGGGTTTACGCCATTCTCCTGCCTCAGCCTCCCGAGTAGCTAGGACTACAGGCGCCCGCCACCTCGCCCGGCTAGTTTTTTGTATTTTTTAGTAGAGACGGGGTTTCACCGTGTTAGCCAGGCTGGTCTCGATCTCCTGACCTCGTGATCCGCCCGTCTCGGCCTCCTAAAGTGCTGGGATTACAGGCTTGAGCCACCGCGCCCGGCCCCTTCTCTTGTCTTGGAGGCTGCCATGTTAGTACTGGGCAGAATCTGTTACTAAAACAACAGGGGTTGGGTCTAGGTCCTGCTGCTTGCCAGTCAGAAAGCCAATCACTGAGACAACGAGTATTGCAAGGGAAGAAGGCTTTAATTGAGTGCTGCAGCCAAGAAGATGGGAGATCAGTCTCACATCCATCTCCCTGACTGACCAAAATCAGGGGTTTGTGTAGCAGGGAAGAAACGTAACTGTGGGAAAACAGAACTTAGGGAGAAATAAGAAAGAGGATTTGGAACAGGAATCAGGTGATTGGTTAGGCAATCATGACTGATGAGGAGTGTGGGTTCTCATTGTCCAGATGCAGTGATTTGGTAAGTTGCAGTTCCTTGATACTGTCTGGGAGGACTGATGGTTGGTTTTCCTGAGAAAGGAATGCAGGACAAATGTGACCTTCTAAAGTTTTAAGACTGGGAGAATCCATTTCTTTTCTTTTTCTTTTTCTTTTTCTTTCTTTCTTTTTTTTTTTTTTTCTGAGACAGGGTCTTGCTCTGTCACCCAGGCTAGAGTGCGATGGCATGATCACCACTCACTGTAGCCTCAACCTCCTGGGCTCAAGTGAGTCTTCCACCTCAGCCCCAAGTAGTTGGGACTACAGGCGCATGCCACCACACCTGGCAAATTTTTTTATTTTTTGTACAGATGGGGTTTCACCACATTGCCCGGGCTGATCTTAAATTCCTACGCTCAAGTGATTCTCCCACCTCAGCTTCCCAAAGTGCTAGGATTACAGGCATGAGCCACCGCACCTGGCCTGGAAGGACCAATTTCTGTTTATTCAAAGAAACCATAAACATCAGTTCTGTGGGACAATTGAGACAGTTTCAAATCCAGCCCCTGATCTGGAGGCCTCCCTCAGCATCCCTCTGTGCTCCATGTGACTGTTATTCATCAAGTGAATAAAATCTATGGAACAGTTTAATTAAAAACACAAGGACAGAGGTGACATCAATGGGAAATCTCTGTCCCTTCTGTTTAATTTTGCTGTGGACCTAAAATTCCTCTAAAAATGAAGTCTATTCATAAAAGAAAAATTAGGAAAATTTTGCAATGTTTTACTTGCCCCTCACCCTGCTGTCCTCCCTGGCTCTTCAGCAGTCTCGAAGCCTACATTCACAGCATGGGATGCAATTATGACAGACCCACAGCTAACATCATACTCAGTGGTGAAAACTGAAAACTTTTCCCCTAAGGTCAGTGGCAAGACAAGGATGCCCACTTTTGCTGCTTCTATTCAACATTGTACTGGAAGGTCTGTTTACAGCAATTAGACAAGAAAAAAAAAGCCATCCAAATGGGAAAGGCAGAAGTAAAACTATCTCTATTCACAGATGATGTGATCTTATATATAGTAAAACCTACATTTCTATAACTAACAAGCAATTTGAAAATAAGAAAATAGTTCCATTTGCAATAGCATCAAAAATAACAACATATTTAGGAATAACTTTAACCAAGAAGGAACAAGATTTGTACACTGAAAATTACAAATCATTGCTGAAAGAAATTGTATAAGCTCCAAATAAATGAAACTACATACTGTGTTCATGGGTTGAAAGACTTAATATTGTTAAAATGGCATTACTCCTCAAAGCAATCTACAGATTCAATGCTATCCCTGTCAAAATTCCAATGGCCTTTTTGCAGAAATGGAAAAGTTGATCCTAAAGTTCATAGGGAATTTTAAGGGACCCAGAATAGCCAAAACACTTTTGAAAAAAACAAGGTTGGAGGACTCACTCTTCTTAATTTTAAAACTTAACACAAAGCTTCAGTAATTAAAACAGTGTGGCACTGCCGTAAGCGTAGACATAGACCAATGGATAGGATTGAAAGTCCAGAAATGAAACCATAGAGAAATGGTTAATTGCTTTTCAATGAGGATGCCAAGACCATTTAATGGGGAAAGAATAGCCTTTTCAATAAATGGTGCTGGAACAACTGGATAACCGCAAGTAAAAGAATGAAGTTGGACCTCTACCTCCCACTATATACAAAAATTAACTCAAAGATGATAAAGATCTAAATATAAAAGCTAAAACTCTTAGAAGAAAGCATAGGGGTTAATTTTCATTACCTGGCATCTGAAAAGTTGTTTCTTAGATATGACACCAAAAGCAGAAGCAACAAATGGAAAAATAAATTGGGCCAGACGCGGTGACTCACCCTGTAATCCCAGGACTTTAGGAGGCCAAGGCAGGAGGATCATTTGAGCTCAGGAGGTCAAGACCAGACTGGGCAACACAGACCCTTCTCTACCAAAAAAAAGAAAAATTCCCCAAAAAATAGCTGGGCATGGTGGCAGGCATCTGTAGTCCCAGCTACTTGGGAGGCTGAGATGGGAGGATAGCTTGAGTTTGGGAGTTCCAGGCTGCAGTGAGCCATGATTGTACCACTGCACTCCAGCCTGGATGACAAGAGTGAGACCCTGTCTCAAAAAAGAAATAGAAATTTATCAAAACTTAAAACTTTGTGCACCAAAGGACACTACTGGAAGAGTGACAAGGGAACCCATAAGAATGAAAGAAAATATTTGCAAATCATATATCTGATAATGGTCTAGCATCCAGAATATATTAAGATGTCTATGACTCAATAAAAAAAAGACTAACAACCCAATTTTTAAATGAGCAAATGACTTGAATAAAGGTTTCTTCAAAGAAGTAAGTGCATACAAAACAGCCATCAAGAACACATCAAAAAAATGCTTAATGTCACTAGTCATTAGAGAAATGCAAACTAAAACCATAATAAAATGCCACTTCACGCCCACTAGAATGGCTATAATAAAAATACTTTTTAATGGAAAATAACA